CTAACCTTGCAATTCAAACTGACTTTGCAGTCCAATACTTTATTTAACCCACAGTGCCACACCAGGGCTCCTCATAAAATGTAGGGTTAGCAAAAAAGAAGACCCTCAATGAGATGGATTGCCACAGTAGTCACAAGCATGGGGTCAAGCACAGTAACAATTAGGAGGATGGTGCAGGGTCAGGCAGTGTTTCGGTCCGTTGTACAGAATCACTATAAGTCAGAATTGACTTGATGGCCTCTACCAACATACTTTTTAGTTTCCTTTCCACTTCTTTTTAATATGACTTTTTTTCTCCTTTAAAATTTTTCCTTCTTTTTTATCTTCTGATGTGCAAGTTCTGCAAGCACTATATATGAGCAGGTAATACCCCTATTTAACAAATGATCACTGGTGCCCCATAATTTATACCTTTCAAAAATGTGTTCATGGAATACTGTTTCCACCAGACTGTATTAAAAAACCAATGTTCAGAAACCATGACATATTGTTCTCTCTTGCCTCCCTATTTTACAAAGACCATAAAATTAAACATTCTTTTTCCTAAACTTACTTCCAGATGGAGTAAGCATATGACACAATTTTGCCCTATGAAGCATGAATAAAATTCTGCTTCATCCTTCTTACTGTCTTCAACATGGACTAGAAGCAGGAACTCCAGTAAATAAATTGTGATTTCGAAAGATGCACCAAAGGATTTATAGGCATTAATTTGGGCACTGCAGAACATTGAACCTAGACCACCAACCACCTACCTTCTGAGTCCTTATTACAAAAAGCAAATGAATCCCTATTTGTTTGGCCTGCCAACATTTAGTCACCTGTACTTTTCAACTAAACACCCCCTAACTACAAAAATATTCCTCTTGGAACTTCACAATGCACATTACATATTATAGGAACTGAGAAGTACGCAAGGTAAGAAATCTGTTTAATTTTTTGTTTAATATAACATTTCCTAAGCTTATTTGATGCAAAGGCCCTTTTCTTGTTGGATGACCTAGAAATTTCCCATAGAACTTAGGTTTCTAGATCCTGGCTTTTAAAACTATGCTCTCTAGACCAGCAACATCAGCATCACCTGGAAACTTGTTAAAAAAAAGAAAACAAAATAGGGTCTTAGACCTCCCTTAGAGTCAAATTCTGCATTCTAACAAAATTTCTAAGTGACTTATATGTACGTTAAAGTTGGATAAGAACTGCTTTGGAAAACACTAATTTAAAAGATAAAATACAACTAAAAGTGGATAGAGGTAAATGCTGTTAACTGTTGGTGCATGGAGGGGATTGCAA